TTTTTAATTTTATTACATATTGCTACTGCTGCTATTTGTATTACTGTCACTATTGTTATTATTGTCGTGATTATTATTATAATATTCTTGTATTCATTATTTTATTATTAGTATTTATTAGTGTTCGTATTGCCAATATAATTATCTTAACCATCGTCATTTTTTATATAATTAGTATATTCTCTACTGCTATTTTATTGTTGTTTAAGTTACTAATAATCTTATTTATATCTATAGCTTACTTTATAAACTAATTTCTACTATAATGTCTCAACTTTGTAAAGTTTGTAATAAACGTATTCGTGCTAATTATCTTTCGTTTCAATGTAAACACTGTTTAAATTCATTCTATAATAAATGTTCTCTGGATATAATTGATTTTAGATCATCATTTAACTCTTCCATCAATTTTTGGCTTTGTATAACATGCCACATTAGTATCTTTCCTTTTTGTTCTATATCGGATAATGAGCTTTGCCTTCAATCGTCAATTGATAGTATACTATATCTCAATGAACTCCCAAATGACCTTTCACTCTTTCCTACCTCTCTTGAATCTAATATTTTCAATCAACTTAATAACTTTTTCTCTTATCAATTAAATAATAACGACGATGATGATATGAACGTAGTTGACAATCCAATTAATTGTAAATATATAGATATTAAAAATTTTAACTTTTCAAAAATCACAAATAATTGTTTTTTCTTTTTTTCATTTGAACATTGCTTCATTAGTTAAACATTTTGACAAATTAAATTCACTTCTTCATCTAATTAGTTATGAATTCAGCGTTATCGAATAATGAAATACAAGCTGAAATATGATTTACTACCGGCAGTTCCTATAAATCTTAATGAATATGTTTATGAACATACTCCAAACGAAGCATCATTTGGAGGAGCTTTAATTTATATTTCTGAAAAACTAATTTATAAACCTAGAAATGATTTACTTATGTATAAACCCCAATTCCTAGAGTCAGTGTTTGTTGAAATCATCTTCTCTAAAAAGTCTAATATCTTAGTAGGATGTATCTATCGCCATCCTAATATGGATATTGATGAATTCAATTTTTCATATCTAGCTGTTTTATTTGGAAAACTTTTCCTTGAGAAGAATAAAACCATCTTTTTAATGGGTGACTTTAATTTAGATCTTATTAAAGCAAACTCAGGTAGTTCCGTTGCGGAGTATTTAAACACCATTGCTTCTAACAACTTTCTTCTTTTTATATCCTTACCAACAAGAACTACAAATCACTCAAGAACTACAAATCACCAACAAGAACTACAAATCACTCAAGAACTTTAACTGATAATATATTTTATAACTCAATTTCTAAAGATATTTTCTCCGGCAATCTAACTATTAGAATATCGGATCATTTGCCACAGTTTCTAATTTATCCATCTTTTAAAAGCAAAAAAAATTATTTTCGTAAAAGCAATATTTTTTCAATATTTTCGAAATTTCAAACTTGATAGTAATCAGTTCAAAAACAATTTCTTACAGATAATATTTGAATATTTGTTCAGAAGATATCTCATACCCATTTTGTATATCTTCAAATAACACCATTATACATGATCCAAACAAAATATCGGAAAAATTCAGCTCGTTCTTCATTTCAATACCTGAAGAATTGCAAAAAAACATTCACTCATCCCATACTAACTTCTATAAATATTTAAAAACACCAAACCTTGAATCTATATTCATTAAACCTACTGATGAAAATGAAGTTTTATCTATTATTCTTTCTCTAAATGATGGCAAGGCTTCTGGTCCATACAGCATTCCAACCTTTATTCTTAAATTTATTGCTTGGGATATTTCTCCATTACTTTTTAAACTATTTAACCTTTTATTCGTTACAGGTTTATTTCCTAACATTTTCAAAACAGCGTCTGTTAAACCAATTCATAAAAAGGGCTCAAAACTTGACTGTAATAACTACAGACCAACATCATTATTATCTAATATCAGCAAAATTCTTGAAAAGGTAATTTATTCTCGTATCTACCACTTTCTTGATAATTCTAAGTGCTTATATGATCGCCAGTTTGGTTTTCGTTTAAATCAATCTACTTCCCAAGCTCTTAATAGCATTACTGAAATGATTCGTGGTGCATTCAATAGTGGTTCATTTGCTTGTGGCTTCTGATTTCCAAAAAGCTTTTGACACGGTCGACCACAAGATTTTAATTAAAAAGTTATACTACTATGGAATACGGGGTATCGCTAATAATTGATTTTCATCATATATTGAAAATCGTAGCCAGTGTGCCTCCATTAATGGGTTTGAATCCTCCAAAACATTTATCAAATATAGTGTCCCCCAAGGTTCTGTTCTTGGGCCTTTGCTGTTTTTAATATATATTAACAACTTGTCTCACTCTATAAGCAATTCCACTGTTCACCATTTTGCTGATGATACCAATCTTCTATGCATAAAAAAATCACTTACTCAGCTTTGTAAAAAAGTTAATTCAGATCTCCATCATTTGTGTCTTTGGTTAAATAGTAATCGTATCTCTCTAAATATCAACAAAACTAAATTCATTATTTTTCACCCTCCAAAAAAAAAAAAAATTAGTAATGATAATGTTAAAATTAAAATTGACGGTAAAAAAAATCTTTCCTTCTGAATTTATGAAATATCTTGGAGTATTTCTTGACAAAAACCTATCTTGGAATTATCAAATGATTCAATTAAATAAAAAACTTTCTCGAGCCAATAGTATGTTATCTTTAATACGACACTATGTTTCTAAACATACTTTAGTTTCAATTTACTATTCCATGTTCTCATCCTATCTAAGCTATTGTTACGTTGCAATTTCAAGATCTTATAAAGCTTTACCACTGTCTTTTTGTGTTTGATTTCATCCAAAAGAATCTGCCGGGTTCGTTGTACAATTTTTCATTAAAGCAAGTGATACACATAAATACTACACTCGTATTACTATAAATGGTAATTTGCACCTTTCTCTTTTCAATACTGTCAAGTATGGCAGGCTCTCCATAAAACATAAATGTATTTCTCACTGGAACCAATTAATACCCTTTATAAAAAAAAAAGATTATAACTAAATACCCTTTTGTTACTAGCTTTTTCCTTCTCAAACCAAAAAGTAAAACTACCGCTCAATATGCATATATAGATCCACTAAAATTCAGTATTTAATAAAATGTTTGTTATATATAAATATATGTATATATATATATATATATATATATATATATATATATATATATATATATATATATATATATATATATATATATCACGAAGAAAATCACGAATAGAGTTCCATTCAGTCACGAATAGAGTCCCATTCAGCTTTGAGGTAGTTGTATGATGTACAATGATAGGGGGATTCTGATGATAAGGAAGAATGAGATAATAGTTTTAGAGAGACCAAACCATGATCGGAAGCACCTAAGGATGAATGTGGAGAAACTGAGCACTGAATAGGATCAGAAACAAGACATTAGTTGAGTAGATGATTCGTATTGTCTGGAAAGCGATTTTGAAAGTTGACTATTTATGTTAGGGATTTAGAAAGACAAAAGTTGTGGGCTTTAATGCCTGCAGAGTCATTGACACTAAAGCCAAGCCATTTAGTGTGATGAACATTAAAGTTACCGGCAACAACAATATTGGCTAATGGATAAAAAGAGAGGGCTTGTTCAATATGATCAGAAATAACATCAAGAAGAGTGCAGTCTTGAGATAAAGGAAAGCAATATAGAACAAAGAGAAAGGCGATAGAGTGAAGTGGTGCTAAACGAAAGCCCATAAAAGAGTTGTCTGTGGATTCAAGCCTAGTTTCTCGAGAAATGGGTTAATTCTTACGAATGTAAGGCGAAGCCCAGGCCAAGCATGTGACTATTAGAGTCTTTGCGAGTTAAAGGAAGATAACCATCAACACTAAAATTACAAGATGAGACAGCTGAACTTAAATTAGTCACACAATAAGCAAGTAGGTCTGGTGAATATTGCGAGAGATAACACTCAACAGAAGCAAAGTTACTTCGAAGACCACGAGTATTAGTGAATGATAGATTTAGCGAACTTTATGATGAATGTGGTTTTTTGTGTTTTATAGTTTTTGTTACTTTATTAATTTTTAAATTTTTTAAAAAACTTGACTCAAAACATAGATAGTGCTCAGTACACTAGTACACTGTTTATTAGCCCAAGCAATTGCCTCATTACTTTTAATAAACCCTAAGCTGTAACAAAGGGCTCCAATGTGGCCTTGGCAATGCACACCAAAAGTACAAACAGGGACACTATCCATGCGCAACATGGCACTGTTAGTACTTTGATATTTTTCAGCTGTTGATGAAATTAGCCTCTATGAGAGCTACCACAGAATTCGGGAAACTACCTGACTACCAGCCGGCGTAAAAACCATAAAACTGAGTTTTAGAGCTGTACCCTTATTAGGAGATAATAGAACGAGTTGCCTAGTCATAAAAACAGAGACACAATCAAAACCCATGCATTGAGTCAAGAGGATCCAGCATTCAACATCCTAAACTGGAAACAATGTATAAAATTACATCTGCGCAAGCCTAATAGATGAAGAAGGGGTGCGAGGCTGGTCAATAGATAGAATTTGTTTGCCCCTTAAGTCTTTGCCTAAGAGGCTTTCTACAAGACAGAAGCCGGATGCATTTAACATCTGCCCAAGATGAGTATTTTTATCGAGACACTATTTCTAGCCTTTACTCAACTAAGAGCCCCAAGGCAGGGGGTGTTTTATGTCGAAGTTTGCATCTCCTAGCCTTTCCCTAAAAAGGCGTATCCTACAAGGTAGCAGTACAGGATTTAGGCATTTCTCAACAATCAATAACAAAAATATTTACCCAATTTAAAAATAATAATTAAAGTTTTATTAATAATAACAGTTTAATTTTAAATTTTAATTTAAATAAATATATGTATAAAATAAAGTTTAATTTTTTAGAACTTTGCCTTTTATAG